CACGGTACCAAAAACCCATACATTCACTTTTTAGTATAAGATAGTCGTATTTTCAGCGTTTTGTCGGTGTAGCATTATTATCTAATCAAATTTAACAGAGGAAAAGTTAATGTGTACTTTTTTTCTTACGTTGTGACGTAGATACTCCTTTGAAAATTTCTTGTTTTATTGGTACATATTTACTTGCAGAAAATGTTTTATTGTGATCCAAAAAACTTTTAAGTTTTTTATGCAGTTGCAATAAAAACATAAATCCTTCAATTAATAATAAAATCAAAACCGAAAAGTTTTAGGAGTGTAATTTTGTGGTCGGAGTGTGTCCTGGTGTACTATTATGCACCCCCAAAAAAATGAACTTTGAATATGAGTATGGTGGTAATAAACAATCTCTTGTAAAGAAAAAAGTTTAATTCATAAATAATTTGCTAGAACCTTTCCTTATTGCATTATATAACTCCAATAATTACATCCAAAGTAAAACTGTGTATCTTTTACTTCTGATTAGGAAATATGTGAAAATGGACATTCATTCTTAGTGATGCATCAGCAAGAATTAGCTTCTAAGGCCAAAAATTCATTCTAATTTTATATCTCAAAATTTCACTATTGCTTTTGCTGCCTTTTCAAACTATTAAATGTAAAAAAATGATTATTTGACAAATAAAGGTATATAATTACTTTTTTTTTTTCTTGTGATCCCATAAAAAATAAAGTGATTTGATCTCTAATGTTAGTATTGATACTCTTTCCCCAGTTTTATTTCCAATTCATTTATAAGTTCATCAAGGTACCACCAGTCTTTCTTTCATTGAATATCAGATATTAAATATAAAATATTTTTTAAATCTTCTGCATTGAATAGTTTTGGCTAAGTTCCAAACAAATCTATGAGACACATAAGAAATTGCATCTAAAATTCATTATACAAAAATTAGTACTTGCATTTCATGAGCTTTATATATTTTTATATTGAAGTAAAAATTTATAACTTATAGTTGCAAAATTCATTGTTTTAAATTTAAATAATAAATACAGCAATGATGAATGACAATAATTGCATTACTGAAAACAATGTATGTTGATTTAATAAAAAAAAGGAAATAAATAACAATAAAAAAATCATTATCAAATTTGGTGATGTAATCCAAAATACAGTCAACGCTCGTTAAAATACCACAACAAATTTTATGAATTTATCGAATTATGACATTATCGAGAGTCGCTCTTTAAATTCATGATATAATGGAATAGAAATATATGCCTTTAGAACTTTTCCTATAAAAAGATGAGATTTCTGGTAAAAAAATTTATTGTAATTATGAAAAACTCCCAATTATTTATTAGCTAAAGGCTCTTCGCAAATTCTACGCTTTCAAGAAAAAATAAATTTGTTTTTTGTCAATTGAAATCTTATTATCATCTATATTTCTACGCTTAATAAACTTGAATTCATTTTTTATATTAACAAGGGAAAAATTTTTGAATTTACTACTTACGTAATAGTAATATTTTAATTGTTACAAGAGATACGAATTTAAAGAGCAAGATTTTTTATATGATAGCACATAATAAAAGTAAAAGTGTTATGATTTTACCGATTATCAATGATTTTATTATGATTATGAAATTATCGATAGAATTTTAATATAATTGACATTGGTTCCTGAAAAAATTATGAATTTAGGCGATTATGAATTTATCGAATATGAACTTAACGAGCTTTGTATAACACGAAAATTATTATCGTATTGAACATAACTCTCAAATTTAAAAAAATCCATGAAAAATTTTTTTTTCAAATTTTTTTTACATGAATTGACTCCCCTTTTTTAAAGCCGAAAGACGGCGGTTTTTTTTATAATCTAACATGTGGAGCATTGTAATAAATTATTGACAATATTATTTTTTCATAATAATGTTTATTTTATCTTGGAATAATAACATTCATTATATTAGATTCAGATATGAGTTTATTAATAATTGAACATCAACAACAACTATATTAATATAATTTTTAGATAAAAAAATATTGGATAGTTTTTTCAATGATTACGTATGAAGTTACATATCTCATATGTGTAAAGCTTTATTTGACATGTTATATACTAAAATGGGTAAAGTAGGAAAATGTTATATGCTTAAAAGGGTAAAAATTTTTGGATAAAGTTTCCATTACTAATAGCAATTTACCATTACTAATAACCTGGATGTTTGTTACCTCAATTATAATAACCCCCGGGGGTCCTGCATCACGCCAATGTTGTTTAGCATATATTAATATAAATTACAAATTTGGGATAATATTTGAATACATTAAAATGTACAATGAATGAATGACATTCTTGATTCGAACAATTAATATATATTACCACCTCTAACTTAAATTTGGTATAATGGGCAAACAAGCTGAACTAAACTAAAACGATTTTATTTATGGAAAAAAAGTCATAAAAAATCAATGACAATGAGGTAAAAATATTTACATATTTAACAAACACGTTGTTATTTTTTATATGACCTGCGAAGTTTCTTTCTAGAAATGGAAGGTGATTCATTATTGTTCAATTTTTCTTCGACATTTGTTGATGATAAAGTTAGCGTAACAACACTATTATAACTAGATTCGTTGTTGTTGGCAATGTTTTTTTTAGTTTTCAAATTGTTGCTGCTAGTATTATTGTTATCATATTGTTGTTTTTTCTCAAACATTTTAAGATCCGCAGCGAACAAAACCTGATAATCAGAGGTCAAAAAAAATTTTTTAAAAAGCATACGCAATAAAGAGAGTTATTTTTAGAAAAAGAATTTAGAGTTTAGTCATTCATACTAGATCTAGATAATGAATGGGAAAAAATAAAGATAATGCATGCATGACAAATCAAATGATTGACTAGACATTTTCTATTTTTGTCATATATATATATATAGTAATAGGTAGGTTAGTTACCGAATGAGCCCATCCGCTATAATCTCCAAATAAATTTCTAAAATGATCGCCAACCAGTTCGTACAACCGATTTGTTAAGTTTTTTGAAGTTTTTGAAGCAAAGCCATAATCACGTTTAGCGATCTGCCATACATGTGTGTCTACAGGTATAGAATTATGCTTGTCTAAAGACATTAAACACTATCGGAAAAAAAAATTTTAAAATTAAAATTAAAAAATTGTGTTCATGCATTTACAACACACACACACATATATATATAGATGTAAAGTTTTATGTTTGTAAGGTATGTAATGTACGTATGATCAACACATGGAATTTTATGTGTAACATTACTCATGAGTACAAACTTACCACACAATCGGCAACTTTTGGACCAACCTAAATTGAAACAATAGAATTAATTTATGATAACAATAATATACTTACTACATATTATTAGATTAAAACATCGAAGCTTACACCGGAAAGTTGTAGTAGAGCATTATGAGCATTTCTGTAATCAAGGTTTCGCAAAGAATACAACCACTCCTCGCCTCCAGAACATTTTTCCACCAAGTGATTGACTGTTTGTACAATATATTTAGCACGATAACCAAACCCCAATTCACGTAATTCCATTTCAATATTATCAGAAGCAAGTTTATCCAATGTTGGAAAATCATAATAGTCTTCGCCATTCAAAGTATAAACCTTGTTACCATATCGATTACACAATTTCTCTATCTAATTAATACAAATACATATTGTTATTATTTTAAGGAAGAATGGGTAAAATTTTATTAATATTAAAAAGGTCAATTAATTTTCTGAAAATCCATACCATTTTAGAAATTCTAGCAATGTTGTTATTTGTAGAACATATAAAACAAATTAGATTTTCGACAGGATCTTGTCTTAGGATTCTTACACCTTGGAATCTATCAGCCACCTTTGCAAAATTTTTATCAGCTTTACACCACTTTGCATAATATTCTCTTAGATTGATGTGTAATTGAAAATAATCATTAAGAAAATCTTCAATGTCATTGGTGGTAGTAGTATTTAGATTTGGTGATAATGATGACGATAACGATGATGATGATGACGTAAATGAAAGTGATGACGTAGACGAAAGTGATGCAGATGAATTGTAAGGAAAACTGGGGGAAGAATAGGAGGAAGAAGATTGGTATGATCGATATTCTACATTTGATTCTAAGAAGGTAAAAATTAGAATCAGACATGAAATCATTATCATTTATAGATTTATTATTTACCTGTTTGTCTCAAAGAGATAAGCCTTCCTTTGAAAGCACATGACCTTTTAAAAAATGTATAATATATAATATACAATAGAAAGGAATTGAAAACCCATTAAATAATTATTTAATTATTTAAAAATTTTGTAAGTAAATATATATATTTTTACCATTCATTTTCACCCGACACTTTCCAACGGAAAGATTGTCCGCATTTTAATGTTGTATCCAACCTTAGTTCTTCCGGGCAAGCTTTTAAACTTCGCCAAACAGTAACCATAATTATAATATTTATTTCTTTTACTTTAGTTCTAACACTAATAAAAAACCCAAAAAAAAAATTGAATTAAATATGGGTAAAATTTTCTATTTTTAACAATTTTTAAATAGAAACAAGCTTAACATAGAAAAGATCTGTATTACACAATAATAATAATGATGATAAGCTAAAATTTATTAATAGAATTTCCATTTTGAGAAATGCATTGATCTTTTTTATTCATTCAATAAATAATAAGATGTTTTGGAAATAATTTTATTTATTTATATAATTTAATTTTTAAACGTTTAATTTATACTGTGCAAATTATAATAATTATTCTTTATTTCTTACACTCTTGACAAATAAATAAAGATCAACAAACATTATTAATTAACGTTGATTGATTTTTTAGTATAAATACGCACAGGAATTCTTTTTTAAAAAAAATAAAAAATTTTTAAGAAAAAAAAAATCTAAAAAAAAAACTATTTATTAATAATAAAATATTAAGTAAATCACACTTGTCTTCACTATACATATTTAATACATAAAATGTCTCAAAATCAATTTGATCAAAGTAATAACAATAAGGTTGAAGGTTCATCTCGCCTTGAAATTCAAAAACGTCTTCAAGAACGTTTAAAATCTAGAACTGATACCACCAGCAGATCAACACCAAGAACCTTTCAACAATTACCCGATTATTTAAAACAAGTTTTGCCTGATAACTATACATATATCATTAAATCTTATAAAGAAATAGAACTTGAAACCTTTGCCGGTGCTCCAACTGCGGCTTTTGATTCAACCTTTTATATAAATATTTCCAGCATCGAAGCAATTGAACAATGGAAAGCCGCATTTCATGCCAAAACCGGTACCATATTTCGTATCACTAGAGCTGATAAAGTTAAAGGAATCAAAGTTATTTATCATAAAGATTTCCATTGTCGACATGCAGACATAGCTGCAATCAAATACATGCAAAAAACTTATGCACAAAAGGTTGGTCAACGTCGCAATAGAAACACCAATTGCCAATGTTTGGCTAAAATTCGTCTTGAAAAAAGCCGTTTACAACTTTCACATCCTTGCGAAGTTCATTTAGCCTACAAACATAACCATCCCTTAGAAATTTTGGATAATATTAATAATTTAACAAATTCGATCATTGTTAATAACAACATTCATAATCATAATCATAGTAACATCAATAATAATATCTATAATAATAATATTGAAGAAAGTGGCGGCGACATAGATTTAAATTCAACAAATAATATAATGCTAACAAATATTCCTAATACTCCTTCGAACGCATCTACTTCAAGTGATGAAAGTGGAAGCAATACTCCTCAATGTAATTTGGAATTTGAATTTGAATCAAGTAAGTAAAATAAATTTTTATTCTTAAAAATACTGACAATAATGACATTGTCACTAATAAATTATCTTTATCTAATTATTTCCATCATCAAATTTACCAAATAATTCTCCTTCCACCAACAAAAAATTAATTTACTAAAGGCATTGAACCTGATCTTTCGAAAGGTGATACAGATTATTGCAATGGATTACTTAAATTCATTGATGATTATGGAAGAGAAAGAATTCCTAATAATTCAAATGCCTCGATTTTCTTTAATCAATTCACTTGGCCAGAAACCGCTACTAATAATTACAATAATTATAATTATAATTCCTTTATCGAATCAGATGATGACCTCCAAAATCTTACCATCGACAATAACGAAGGCGACGACAATATCATTATTAATCATAATATCAATAATAATACTTTTACGCCATCATTCCTCGATTTTTACGCCACCAATTCTACTTCTAACACCAACGACACCAACGCATCGTTTTATAATAATCAATCTACAGGATCATCTAGTATTAGGCAAACTACAATGGATCTTATCTTATCAATAATTATATAAAATAAATTTTTATTATCTATTGGTGTCATGTGCAACCAATGAAATGCTTTGTTTCTCTAAGGTACACCTCCTCTAAGTGCATGCTATCACTCATTCCCAAGGGGAGGTGCACTTAGAGGGAGTTGACTATAACAATTTACTAAATAAATTAATAAAATAAATAATCATATAAATAAAATTTATTTAAAAACTTGTTAATTCTAAATATTTCTTTATTTAATATTAAAATTTGGAGATTTTCGTTTCTTACGACTCTCTTAATAACTGTTTCTTTAAAAGGAAAAATTTTCCAAATAAATAAAAAAATGAAAATTTTTAGCAATAAAAATCGCACAACTTTAAATCCTTATAAGTCCTTTTTTTTTACTAATAAAATTAAAAAAAAAACTCTCTGTCAGCTATTCCTTTAAGTCATAAAGAGTAAAATCATGGAAAGGTTTTTGCTCTATTTTATCTAGTTATCAAGATTATATGCTTCAAAGTTCAACTATATTTTCAACATTTTTAGATGATTTTACTAAAAAAACTCTGTCGGCATGTTCATTATCACATTTATTATTACAATATCTCTTAATTTCATAGTTGTATCTTTTTTTTGGAAGGAGGAGATACAAATTTTTTTTTTATATTTATTGAAAAAAAGTTTATA